TAGTAGACAAATTTGTTTACCTGGGCAGCTGTATCAGTCCCGGTGGTCTCGCGAAAGATGATATTTCCATCCGGATTGGGAAGGCCAGAGCAGCTTTTGTGAGCCTACGTCACTTGTGGCGTAGGCGTGACCTCACCTTCTCTGTCAAGGGTCGAGTTTGCAATGCTGCGGCGCGCACCATATTACCCTATGTATCAGAAACCTGGCCGCTGCGCGCTGGTCAAAAGTCAAAAGAATTTTAGTATTTGACCATCGATGTCTTCGGAGCATTACCCGAATCTGGTGGAAGCATCGGATCGGCAATTCTGAGGTACATCGAATGGTGTTCGGGAGAAATAACTCGCCCTCGATAGATGAACTGATCATACTGCATAGGTTGCGCTGGCTTGGCTACGTGCTGCATATGTCAACAGACCGGCGTCTTCCAAGGGCTCTTTTCGCACAACCACGTGAAGGGCGGAAGAGATCTGGAGGCGGTCAAACAGTGACCTGGCAGCGAAGTATGAAAACCATTACTGGCAAACTCAGCTGCGCTGGTCATTGCTGTCTTCCTGGATGGGGACCCCTAAACGAGCCATATCATTGGCTGGAGACATTGTCAGACATGGCCCAGTCGCGCCCTCAATAATGCTCGTGCATCCAAGCTATTGCCTTCAACGCATAGCTTCTTTTCCAAACCCCCTCACTTGACAGCCTACTGCAGTGCTGGATGTATGCATTAATTTATGATCTTTCGCCTGCAATGCGCAGCTACTTACCCCCCACGCCACGAAACATCGGTGAACGAAACTGCGGCAGCTACAACCACTGTATGATGAGTACACGGTTATTACAGCTGACAATGACGGTGCTGATGATGATGATGATGATGATAAGTCACTTGAGATTATTCGTTTGCGAAGTCAAGAATGTGTTTCCTGGTAGCCAAGGCCAAAATCTAAGTGTCTCTTTGGCTTCGGAACCCGCTGCTGTGGTATGCTACGCGGATAATCTGAGGAGCTGTGTTACTCAGACTTAACGTCCGCAGTTTAGATTACTTTGATTACCGTTTTTGGCTACTTTTGCGCAAGGACCCTGTTGATTTTCTCTTGAAGGTTTTTCCCTTAGATCACTCCACACGACTTGAAAGATATTCGCAGAGAAAACTTCCTGTTTTCTAAAGACGTGACATTAGCCTGACATTACCCTGAAGCCTTAGCCACTTTTCTTCATGATAAATTCTTATTGTGTCAAAATACTGGAGGCACCCTTATAATAACCGGAAACACATAAAAGTGGAACAACAGTCTAAATGTTTATCTTAAGCGTGATATCCGGCTTCTAGCCTTCCTGCTCAAGATGTCACAGGAAACCTCGGATTCCTGTGACTGAATGACACCCAGCTTTTTTTGGTTTCATGGGAAGAAACCCTCTAGCGTGATAGGTGCTGAGATGTTTTAATGCATGAAGTGCGAAATAAAAACAACATATAATTCATGGGCAATTGTTAAATGAAAAAGCGATAAAGTAGTGGGTCCAAACCCTGCTGAATTTCTGGCCCTTAGTAGTAAATAAACCAGAAAATACTATCGAACAATCAGCGTGCGTCAAGCAGTTTAAGTCATGCCGGTGAAAAGTCACTGGTTAATAATACGCTGGTTTCCTATTGTATTTCAAGCTTTTTGTTCTCAGGTGATCTCAAGCCATGAAAAAACGCTTCGGAGAGCCAAACAGCTTCATGTCATTACAAGAGTGAGTAAAACCTATAAGACGAACTCCTTCCATGTTCGCGTCATAATGTTTGACCCGTTTAGTCGCATTCATTGGGTGTATAAAAACGTGGCGAACAGGTGTGTTCCTATACCTGTCGTGCACAAAAATACGTTTGAACTCAAATGATATTTACTGTGAACTAAAAAAACGTACAGAGGAACCAATTTGAACGTAGTAACGATGGATGCATGGTCATGCGCGGAAATGTAGGAAACGCAACATGAAGTGTAATCGTTTACGACCGTTCATAGGCAGTTTAAGTCATACCCAACTTTTTAAAGATAGAGAACTCTAAACAGCGCCGATCCACCTGAATCTGTGGAATTTGGCCCAACAATGTAGTCTAGGAGACGAGCCTATATGAAAGACGCAAACCATGGGTGGCCCAGAGCTGTTTGCACAGCATATCGGCACAACACGTTAACAAAATTTGAATGAAGTAATGCCCTCCAAGCACTCCCAAGAGTAGAACCTTACCTATTCTGAATTCCAGACACCAAAGTCTTGCCGTTGGTGAACCACTTGCGGCTGAGGTTTATTTGCCCATTGAATGTAAGCAGTCGGTTGATGCGATGTCCGGAAGTATTAATAAAACAGGAAAAAACCAGTTGTTATTAAAATCGATTTCCCCACAACATGCTGCGCGTAGTGGGCAATTGTTCCCCATAGTTTTGGGACAAAAAAGTACCAAGAACTTCTGCACTTAGTCTTCAAGCATAGGTTACATGAAGAGTGGATAAGGGTATAGACTGAATGTACTTTAGGCAGACGAAATATTTGTGCCCAGAGATTTTTGTGCTATAAAAGCTGACTCAGACAAGCTTTCAGTGCAGGCAATGCAAGCCGTCGCTGGTGAAAGGATTCAAACTGCTGCTCGACTAGCATTTACTCTTGAGAAACGGTTGAGTATATGAACTCAAAATACAAATTCTTTATGGCTAACGAAAAAACGGAGAAAACTCACCTCCTCTTATGACAGGATCGTAAATCAAGATTTCAAATACGCATTTGGCAAAACTTATGAAGGTATGCAGTTTGAATAGATTTTTCTTTGATTAAACCAGGGTTATCAGTTTTCTGGCACCTGTAAAACGTTTTTACATTCAAAAACCATAATTTTTCCTTAATATAACCTGAACGTATGATCGAAATAGCAACAACACATTCAGCAACTAAAGTAACGCCATAATAGAGATGAAAGATACCAGAGAGTTCTATAGCGAGTCGGACTCGCTTGATACAACACAATTACAGGGTGCTTGTGGCTTGTATACAGATTGCTTATCAACAAGAAATACAGATGTCTGAATTTCGTAAAAACTTTGATGTAGCTTTAAGTTAAAATTGAAGAAAATTCGGCCTGTCTGCAGGCACCGAAATGTTTCTGGGGAGATCAATCTTGATTTCTGCTGGAACAACAAACTAGTGCCTCTTCTCAACTTACTGCCTTCTCATCAAGGTATACGCGATTCCGACACCAGTTGTAAGAGTGATCAGGTTTTCTCAAAGGAGTCAGACTTCAATTTTTAATTCCTTCTACATCCTCTGCTTCATCACTGCTGCGATCACACCGACACTCCTAGAAACCTCGCCGTCTATTCTGTGGCAGGATCGTTAAACTTACATGCATTATTCGTAGTAAATTTCTTTGTGCGCAAGACTAGAAGAACGACAAAATAAGGACTTGATTGAAGAAAATCTAAACGTTGATAAAGCTCAATGGGCAGCTCCTCTGCTAAAGAGCACTTGTATTCTACCTTCTTGTTCTGGGATAATATAAATAGCGGGACATGAGCCTCATTTGGAGCCAAATTTGCTAACTGTTCGGTTGAGGGGAGGTGGCTTACTTAGATAATTAGGACAAGTATTTACCAAGGCCATTTCTTGACACGAACCAGAAGGCTGTTACTTCTATCCCAGTTAAACAAGTAAGATCACATTACGGCTTTTATCACTTGTCCTAGGTTTCTACAGCAACCGGAAAATATGATACTCTCCAATGGAAAACGACTGAGATAAGTGACGTATAGTAAGAGCACAGCTTAGTTTGGCAGTCAGTTATTTACACATTATATTCAGTACAACAGATATTATAAGACTGGAGTGATGTAGTAATAATATAATAGCACAGTACAGTAGTTTTATTGTGTTTTAGTAGTGTAATAATGTAGTAGTAATGATATTGTTGCAGTTCATTACACTCCATACTGCACAGTGAATTTCGAACCCATAAGTGGTTTATTCAATATACTGAAGGTGCACATCTCAGCCGGTTTGAAAACGATTGTGTGACACCTGTTTTCCTCTCATAGCTGCCAAAAAATTGGTGAGGGCATGCGTGATATACGAAATATATTAAAAGAACTTAGTGGTCCACTAGGTGATCCCGTGACAATGCTTTGAAGCCCGTCCATTTGAGTTCCAAGAAGTGACTTTTAGGTTACATACATGTGAGTGAACTAATGCACTGATGAATTGCACTGCAGTTTGCTCTTGAAATCAAACGCTATAAGCAGTGCAAACAGAAGCTACGATAAGCCCATACCGTACATTGTAAACATTCTGTTTCTTTCATATTTCAGAAATTCAGTTGAAATTCTTCCTCCTCCATTCTAAGCACTAATGCAGGCCAACTGGCAAAGAAGTGGACCGTTGTTTAGAAAGCTTACCAAATTTCAATCTGCCTATCGGCTATTTTCAGCACATCAACAAACGTACAAGGAGGCTTTTACTCAATCCTATGAGAATCCAGTTGATTTTTGGGCAAAAGAAGCGGAGAAGTTGTTTTGGTTCAAGAAATGGGACAAGGTCCTGACGAACGGGGGTTCTCCATTTGCCAGATGGTAATACCCAGTTGTGCTTAATCAATGGTTGTTTCCGCAGGTATGATGGTGGCTTGATCAACACTGCCTACAACTGTTTGGACCGTCACATAGCTGATGGATATGGCGCGCAGATCGCCGTCATCCAAGAAAGTCCGGTTACTGGTAGCAGAATTCAGTACTCATATGATACGCTGCTGGACCATGTAGGTTACACATTCCCTTTACTGAATATGCCCAAGCTTCCAAGCTTAAAGTGTCCCACAATACCAAGTCAACTCTAAGTCAACTGTAAGTACACTGATGCAAGGAACAAGCTCTGATGGAAGTTTCATGTATTTCAAAGGAAAAACCCAACTAATTGATAAAGTGTACTGAAGTTTAGTGTACTGATGTAAGTACACGATGCAAGGAACAAGCTCTGATGGAAGTTTCATGTATTTCAAAGGAAAAACCCAACTAATTGATAAAGTGTACTGAAGTTTAGTGTACTGATGAAAATGAGTCGTAGATGTGAGTTCCCAAAACAGCTCCTTCTGGTGTGGTATTCTAAAAGTGGGTCAGTTGAGAGTACACGAGCAAACTACTTGGTGCTGTTGTTTGGTACGCTACCACGTTTCATATTCCATGCCAAACTATGCATAAAATAATTACAACTTCAACCTTTTCTTAAATTCAACCAGTGACGGTCCGACATTAGTAGAATAAAAGCTGAATAAGAACAACTTACAATAAACGATAGCACAAATCAGTGTATAGCTTTGGGACCTCGTGACATGTACAAGCAAAATTACAAGCAAACTTAAGTTGCCTTTGCAGCTGAGGTAGTTCAAATTTAGTTTATCTATCTTGCCTTTAGTGCGCCACAGAATTTCACCTAACGTTTCTGAAGGACGCAATTCCGGGCAAACCAGGCAATACAACAGCCGCCATGTAAGTTGAACAGAAAAATTTACGGTCTTTGAAAGGAGTTTTTGGCGAAAGAGCTCAAAAAGTAGCTCTTGTTCGTCTATGGGAAATTTAATTTCGACACAAACCTCAAGGTACTGGCTAAACGCTGCATCACTCGCCGGTCGTCTCTAATGGGAAGGTCAACGCTACTACCCTAAGAGGTAGTGGCAGCATATTTGGTGGGAGCAGATTTTTTGAAGAAGAGTAAAGTTTGTGTCCGGAGAAGACAGTAATTTTGCGTACCGACATGTTGAGCTATGCTTACACAAACACAAAGTGGTGGATTACACACGTACTCCGTAGGGTCTCGCTTTTATTACACATTGCTTGAAGGCTAAAACAGTTGTAGATTTTCCTTATCTTCGATACAGAACTATTAACTTTTCATCGCAAGAATCTCTGGAGAAATTTGAAACACGTCCGCCAAGGGAATTTTACAACAATACCATCTGTTCGATAATAGAAAGAAAGAATGTTGATACAGAACTAATAACTTTTCATCGCAAGAATCTCTGGAAAAATTTGAAACACGTCAGGCACATCATCTGTTCGATTATAAAAAGAAGGGCTGTTCTGCAAGCATGTGCTCGAGAAAACATCTTGAAATAGTTTCCTCAAAAGCACAGTAAAAACTTCAGATTTCAGATCACCAATCTCATACACACATTGTAGAATTTTTATTGGGAAGATGTTTTCGCGATATGGATTAACTCAAAGAAGTTATTAAATATGCGATCAAAATGAGCCTCTCTCACCAGCGTCACAAATACAAGTCACGGCGACTGCTCCGTCATTAACGTTGGACCACAAGGTGGTGCCTAATAGCTTTGTAGATGACATTCTGTTAGAAACTTAACCAGTCCACCGTGAAATGTAGTTTAGTTTGAAATTTTGCTTAGTGGAAGCCAAACTAATCAGACCAACCATGGATTTGATTCAGAGGCCCAATTACAGGAAGTTCTCATGGATGGGGCGGTAGCGATATTTCCACAGCTTTGTGTGAGTGGGATGAAAAAGAAACTTTCTTATACTGGCAAGCTGCACGCGACACATCTGCTTTGCAGATGAATCAGACTGAGAAATATTTCCACAGCTTTGTGTGAGTGAGATGAAAATGACACTTTCTTATACTGGCAAGCTGCACACAACATATCTGCTTTGCAGATGAATCAGACTGAGAATTAAAGCATATTGCTGTCGCTTTTGGAGCCAGTGGTTTTTTTTGAAACGGTTTAGGGTCAACAGGATGTCTCACTTTTTTCGGAAGTTGACTGTCATGGATGTTGAAAACAAGTCAGTCCTAGTGAGTTTGATCCGCCTAGATGAAATCCTGACTGCTCCTCATTCGATTCAGTTTTGAGATCTTCGTTCGCAGCGAGTCCTTTGTTTAGCCTTAAAAACAAGATACTAATTCCTGAACAAACTACCACTAAAAGTCTTTCGTCTTGTTTACGAAATGTGTTGAGCACAGTGGTGTGACAACCAACGATGTAAGCGGAACGCGACTAGACTCAATCGTGCCGTGTCGGTGATTATTTCATCACCATAAGCAATTTGTTCTTGTCGTCTGCAAGGTACATTTCAGTTTCCATCTGAAGGTGCTGCTTGAATCCAAGTGGACTAAATGTGATGTCGAAATCTGCTACCTTGCTGTGAAAGCGGCTCATGTCCACTTGGCAATTGCCTCTTGCTCATTTCGAATTATCTATTTGAATAAAACTATGGTTTCCCTAAACGCCAGTATTGTCTCCTCTACTTCAATTTCATTACCAACTTTATATAATTATTGCACCATCTTCTGTTGGTTAAGCCATTAGATATCAACCAGTCTGACGTAAAATTCCAAAAACACTGCTGGTTGTAACTCTTTGTTCTGGGTGGGAATACTCAAATGTCGAAGCAATGATCCCGTGATTGGGAATTACACGTTTATGCTGCTTTGGTTAATCATTTCCTCTAAATTACTTCCAGCTCTTCTGCTTTTAATTTAAGAGGCAAGCGAACGCGTATTAAGTGACTGAGAGAAATAGCATTTTGTTCCAAAACGAACTTATTGATAATCAAAAGCCCATTCTAATCTAGCCAACACTAATTGAGTACTATATGCTTGCTTCCAGTTCTAAACATTTTTGTCTACTAATTCTATATTTTCGTAGCCAGAATGGAATGGACGCAGGTAGGCAGAGCGAACAAATATTTGAGGACGGTTTACCCCCAGTACCTACCAACAGGGAGTTTACCAGAAAGCAGTTCCACTATGTTGTGGCCTCCTTATTAGTTATTGCACTATATGCTCCAATGTATGTGGTACACGTGGTTGCGCTTAAAAATGGCATAACTAGCTTGTATGAATACACTTCAGCATGTTATTGCAACAGTCCGTCTGCAGTTCTCCCCGCTTTTCTAGGTAAGTACTAACTTAAGTTAGTTGAGCTCAAACGGTGTGTATTACAGAGCACATGACACGCTTCTGGGTCAAGAAATTCGGATGTGCTTGCATAGATAACTCAAAGTGGATACTTCCCCGGTCTAAGTATTTTTAATCTCACGACAAATCAATCCTGAAACTTGATACTCCATCCATCGAAGTTCATGTCCCCAGCAAACAGAATAATGGGCTCTTTTGGGATCAGTTTTTTTCCTACAAAGTACAAGGTTTTAGCTATAATACTATTAAGAGTACGTTCTTGGAAATGTCAGTTCATGACGGGTTCACCTCAAGTTTTTGCCGCGCTGACGTGATGCAAAACTCCTCCCTGTCAGGTTTCAAATTTGTCAGGCTACCTGGCGCGACAGTGTCAGGTGAATAAAGGAGATCGTGTGTTGATCTACATGCCTATGATTGGAGAGTGTCTGATTTCTATGCTCGCTGCCGCCCGAATCGGTGCTGTTCATACGGTTGTGTTCGGTGGTTTTTCTCCAGAACAGCTAGCCGTTCGGATACGAAACTCCAAGGTAAGCATATGTTTGGCCTGATTAGACCCGTCATTACACATGCATACGTTATGAGATAGCTATCTACTGTTAATAGGTCATTACAGCCGCAGACTGCACGGAGGGAATGACAAACGTCCAGGCTGAATGTGAAGTTGTCCCGGTAAAGGGCATGCAATAGAAACCTAATTGGTTTTCAATTTGATTTGTTCCATCAGTTTAGGACAGGGAAGTGGCCAAATATTCATTTAGGTAGCATCGTTATGAATAAATGCAAACAAGACCCACTCCCAAAACAATTTGTTTTTGAAGAGTAGGACAGAACAACCAACCAACAACTTGGATTACCGACCGCAAAAGTTTTGGTCTGCATTCATGAAAATCCGAGTCTAAGTATAAGGAAAGCGTGTGATTATACATACTATATTTTACTGAAATAAAAAGCTCTTTCGAATGGCTTATAATATGGTTTTGTTTACAAAAGCACTTTGTACTTGGTTGTTGATCAGGTGGCTGTTGATACAGTTGAGTGGGACCCACTCAACTGCGCACTGATGATGTCTCCTCGTATGGTGACGAAACGTTTGTAAGCCAATTGCCAAGCTCGGCGAACAGATCAACAGCCACCTGATCAACAACCAATAAACTCACCCGAGCTACCAATATTTCAACAAATTACCACTTTGTACTTTATATTACACTCTCTTTTTAAAGTGGCTTGACATTTTTTCCATCTGAGGTTGCTTTTCGAGAACTTCAAAGATTCCCAGTGTGACTGCTGCTGGTAGCATGAAGTGGATTGCATGAATGTGTTTTCGAACGGTCATAGTTTTGCACTGTATGCAAAGGATTGCAAAAAAACACAAATTCCTTAGAAATAAATTATTGATAATGATAAATTCCGTAGTAAGTCTCTAAACATGTAAGATTTACTGCGGGTTCACGGGCCAACGAAACGCCCGGCGGTACGAGTGGAGGCCATTAGCGTTTAAGTAAATGCTACGCGTGAAACTTTAATAGTTTCGTGATAACCACGTTTTACTATCGTGCTATTTAACGTATTGTTTTATGTTTTTCATTCCAGCCTAAAATAATTATCACAGCTTCATACGGCATTGAACCAAAAGGTGCTGTTGGTTACAAAGCGGCAGTTGAAGAGGCCATCCGTCTGTCCGAATGTGCGGAAATCGTGGAAAGATGCATATTTTTTCACCGTCCGAATTTGCCACGTGTTGAAATGGGTGATCCAGATTTCTTCATTGATTGGGGTGAAGCGCTGGCTGCAGCACAAAAACACGACGCCGTCCCGGTGGAATCGAACCATCCTTTGTACTTAATATATACTTCCGGAACAACAGGTATGCAGTTTATTGTCACTCACATAGACACCTGTACACAAACTTCCGGATAACTACGTGGCAACCTGAGCATTCGTCATCAGTTTGGCTACAGGTGAAATGTGATCCTGGGTTTTATACTAGGACCAAAAACGTTTACACAGGAATCGTCAACATCTTGGAGCTCAACTTCAAATACTCTTTCGTAAATTGCATCCTGGTTTTGGGTTTATCTCCCCTGTGGTTCTTGATGACTTGGCAGTGCATCACTCCGTATGCTCCCTACAGGTGGGCAAAGCCCTATGGTTAAACAAAGCCTAGAAAACTTAGTATTGGTGGTTGTTGGAATAAACGATTCGATAACAAATAAAATTGTTTCGGGGATACCTGGTAGTCTACTGAGTTCGAGCGAAGTGACACATTTCCTATTCATGTCACCACGCGTTCAAGCGTTCAAACCGGATTATCCCTCGCAACAAAGCACCGGTGTGTAGGACAACTGACGTCTTGATGTGAGTTTCAGATGCCGCTAAAATAATGCATAGCGACAACAACGATTAGTCAAACAGTCACATATAAGGTACGATACTAATTCGCACATCCTAAGTGCAAAGTGATATGGGTCCCTTCAAGACAGAAATTAGCCATCGCAGTGTTCGCATATGTACTCTCTCAGGTCTCCAATACGGCTCATTTTCTCGATTAATAAGTAACGACTAAGAAATACCCACATAACCCTAGATAAAAGTGTGTTTTGAGGAAGCGTTTTGATACCTGATCGTGCAAACTCACTGTTTGAGTGAGTAGGTGGTCTTCTAATGTCCACCAAAATCTAAGCGTCACATCATTGTAAGGTATGCATGTATTATCAAGAAACTTTAGAATATTTTGCCAGGAAAGTTGAAAAAACCTGCTTTGATTCATTCACCAAATTCATCTTAAATAATTCTGCAATGCGCGACCGAAGCGCTTTTTCTGTTCCTACACATCCAGCCTCAGACTCATCTTTTCTGGACTATCGAACCACGCAGTTGCCAGGGTAATCCATACGCCTGTGACCAGTTTGCTCTCGCAAAGATTAAACAATGATTAGCTATGAGATACCGGATAACGGTTACCTCAGAGCTGATAATAGTATACAGCATAATTTGTTATTAACGCTAGCATAGTTTGTAAGTGAGTGTACTTTGACACCTAAACACGATTTAATGCCAAAAGAGAATATAAGGTTGATGAAAACCGTCCGATGAGCCACAAGAGTGTGAAATTGACAGTGAGCCTTTGGAAATTTCTTGGCCACCTTTTACATAATCTGTGGTGCCAAAAGAATAACTTTTGGGCCCTTGACGATTAAACAAACGAAGATCATTTTTTAGATTGGGGTGGGAAGCCGAATATAGGGCACCTACGCATGGATTTACACTTTTGTTGTCAAAACGGAACTTCATGAACTTCACCGAAGGTCTACCCGGGCTCAAGAAAATGGTGCTTCAGAGTAGCGATATACAATGTGACTGTTTGAATTCTGCATTCAGAAAAGATTAAACTAAAGTCATTCCCAGAAGAACTCTTCCATTTTATCCACTTAACTACCCATGATATTCACTTACGTATTGGTATAGATGAGAGCAGTATGTTTATGGACAGTCAACGACAAAACACTTGGGTTTGCACTCTACGGGCTAATTTAAAACGTACGCAAGGTCGGTGGTTTCATCCAGAAGATTTTTGATAGATTCTTGAGTGAATTTGGCAAGAAAAGCATTTTATTTTCAGGCAGAATTTTCTTACCACACAGAAGAAGTTTGCCAGAAAGACTTGGGCCTTAGCATCTTAAGCATATGAGAAAGCAAGTTGGCATCACGATTTTTTTAGTCATTCTCTCATGAAATCGGTCAACATTGATCGTTTTCTTATCTGTATTTTCCCATGCTTGGCTCATGCTTTTCTTTTGTATCAAACACTTCCTTATAAGATGAGGTATTTTTTCGTTTCATATACTGAATCCCTCTTAAAGCCTGTCAGTCTTCAGCAGCTGTTATCATTCTGGGTTGATTACCTCAAACTCCAATCGCCATCTACACGGAAAGCCCATTCCATACAAGCAAAATTAGCGCTAATGGTAAACTTTATCTACATAAGTCCTGAAACGGTAACCCTATGCTTTCATAGAAGTTGAATAACCTCATACATCGCCGAAATTTGGTGAATCACTTTCTGCGCACTGGATACAGGGCGGTTAGAACTGTCTGTAGTTCGAACCAGACCCCTGTCTCTCGACTTCGCCTGTCTAGGCTTCGGCAACTTAGTAGTATCTCAGCCCTTGTGCTTCCTTTGGATGGCATGGCAGACAGGCATGGAAAGTGTGTTACGGCCGAATGACTATCGACTACTATCCGATTCCAAATAGATGCAAGCTTTACCGAAAACGCACATCGGTCTGATAAGCCATTGGACAAGTGGTTCCACGTTTGTGCCACGGGCTCTAGGCAAGGGAAGTTGTAAGTAAAGCAAGTATGTTGTCCTTTCAAAAGCTAAAATATACCGCTGGATAAATCTTTATTGTTCTTTGAAATAAAGAACTTTCCTAGTGGTTACAGATAAACGCAAAAAGCTTCAAAGTTGGATGCTCATCTTTGAGAGATCTATGGCTGAAAGGTCCCGCCGTGCATACTGGCCTTAAACTGCCGATATAGACAAAAAATCAACAAAGTCCCTTGGAGAATCATTTACTCCATGCGCTCTACAGTATGTGGTGGCCATATGTTGCTGAAGTCAATACCTCAACATTGCAACTAACCTTATTTGACTGTGAACTGTCAGCTGATTGATCACGTGCCATGCCGTTCATTTAAGTTCGAACTCTAGTTACCACGTGTTTAATTTTAAGGTAAATGGAATGTTTGGCCCCAGACAAACAATCCCACCAGCTCTTTTACCTAGATTCACGTGCTTAGGACGGATTATAGTAAACACTTTGTCGCTGTTGCCGAGTATCAGCACCGCACACAAATGCACGAATGAGTGCCTGATCAGCTGACTCGCCTTTTCGACAAATGGACGCTGAACGCTCATTAACGACGACGCCATGGTAGGCTATAAACTCTACTACATAGCTTGATGACATCATGTGTCAATCACTAACAAAGGTATTGCACCGTTGTATAATACTTCATGCCCAAGAAAAAACTTTCGTTAGTCCTTATCTTTCAAATTTCACACAATGTCAGACGCTTCTTACATCTTGGTCAGGTAACCCCAAAGGTGTAGTCCGAGACAGTGCCGGTTATTCAGTCGCACTAAAATACTCTGGAGATAAAATTTATGATATCCGGCCCGGTGACGTCTGGTGGGCCGCGAGTGAGTTTGGATGGGTCGTTGGACACTCGTACTGCTGCTACGCACCTCTCATTCAGAGAGCAACAACGATCATCTATGAAGTAAGTGCTATTTGGAGTATTCCATTTATTGGCTCATGATGGGAGCTTATCAGGCAAATCTCAGTGGCATCTTTTGCCCGCAGGAATTTAAAATCATACTAGAAAAAGTACATTTTTGCCGCAAGAAGTACAATTCTTTCGGTTATTTTCATCGTTTTCTGGCAGGTGTCATCCTTAATAAAGCCAGACTATGTAATAATTCCTTCTGGACAATATAGGTATTCTGTACAGCGTAAACTGGCAGGCTAATGGCAATTTATTGTGAAGTAAACAGCCATAATGAAGACTGGGCAGTTAGCGACAGCTGTTGATTTGAAGCACGAAAATTCACAACACTGGCATGTTATTGTTCTTCGTACCTTTTATAGTATGTCCTGATCTTCTAGCATAACAGGTACGCGCAGGTTTTTGTTCCCCTGAAAAAACATCCTGGTTGATCATTTTGAACATAATACTGATTGGCTGTCCTAACTGGAAAAACTATATTTTTCAAGCGTGAAACGATTATCCTGAGTGCATTGCCAGTGAGATCTCTATATTTAAAGGCTGTCCCCTTTGTAAACTGTGGAAGATGTTCAAAGCAGTTTGTGGACTGTATTGCCTAAAAAATTCCCTATCCCGAGCCCCTGGAGAGTGGCCTTCCCAGGTGTTCAGCATGAGGCATTTGTGAAGGTGCAACTGAGAATGAAACGACCACCCCTAATGCATTTTCAAGTCAACTCAAGATCGCTGCACATCTAAACTATTAGACAAAGCAATAAGTTACAAACTCACGCTCACTGCAGTTATAAACGTGCATACAACCTTGTTGACTGACATGAGTATGTGATCAAGACAACTTTAAATTGGCTGACAAAAACTGGTCACCTGGACAAATGCTTTCACGAAGTCACCTCGCTGGTATGGCGACGTTATCTTTGGGCTCAAATCCCACTGACATCCCTGTAAATGCACCTCTACTCGGAGGCTAAACTGGTCTCTGATAAACAGACTTGTGCTTTTACACCTGACAACTCCTAACCCGATCCTCCCGATGACTGTAAACTTCAGGCGAAGTAGAATACAGGTGTGATGCACGGAAGGTTCTCGACACCTTTCTGTTTTGGCACACGTTTTATTATTTAGGACCGTCCAGCCTACTTAGCCTCACATTTATCCGACTTGGACTGAAACCCGATTCCCTCACATGCTGATTCATATTCACACGGGAGTACAGCCTAAGTGCTACTCGTTTGCAAATTTTGCCCACTGAGGTAAGCAACACATGACGAATCGGTATAGGCTGTCTCGATCGCCTCCACATCGAGGTTACCAGAAGCACTTTATAAATAGATAGCTTGGTACGTGGGCAGAACCGGCTATTTGTTCTCTTTGCTTTACTCTGTGCCAACTAAACAGATAACAGATGAGCACCTAACTACTTCTGGATGGCCATCTGATCTCCAGATACTTATCCTTAGACTTCCACCACCCGCGCTAATGACCAGACAGTCACCAATTCATGGACTTGAAAGTTACCGGCAATGATTATAAGTTTAAAAAGCATCATTATTTCGATTGCTGTCTATCATTCTTACTCTCAGACGTTGTCAAATACGAGACCCACTTTGTCGATCCCGTAATGCCAGTGGAGATTTGCTAGCCAATTCCATCATGTGCTGCTGATTAGTAAGAGTTGGTTTCCTGACACCATGGGGAAAATAGTTTTGTAAATGGACAAGCACTATTAGCTAATCTGTATATAAATGTGGATAACTGCACTCTCAGGCGAGGGCAAACCTTGCCAGCACATACGTCAGTTGGCCACACGTACTGTCTGCATTGTGGAACTAGAGACCAGACTACTGATAACCCAGACCAGTAAACATCATTGTTAAGATCTGGTTAGTTCTGCAGGCGGCCTTGCTACTATCCCACCATTGGACCTATCCTTTTTTGGGAAATAACAGCGGTGTACAGTTCAAAAGAATTTTGCAAATTAAGGAGCCTCCGTGGTATCGCTTTACAGGTTTCTTCATTACTGGTGAATGTGGTAGCACAGCACTTTCATGACAACAGAAACTAAATGTCCTTGACGTTCACAGTATAGACGGGTCGACAATGAGCTCCCTTCAGACACCTAAATCCTTATAAGACAGCTTGGATTCTGCTGGTCCCGAAGTGTTTCTCATCTGTGACAGACAGTTCGGTTTGGCTTCTGAAATTCTTACCGGAAACCTTAAATTCTGTTATCCAAAGTTAGTTTTTTTTATTTCACCTTGCTCAGTCGCTCCTTCGGGCTTATTTGATCTCTCTCAGGGCAAACCAGTTGGAACACCAGATGCATCCCAATTTTTCCGCGTTGCGGCGGAAAACAAAGTAAATGGGTGGTTTATGACTCCGAGTGCCGTTCGAGCTATCCGGAATGAAGATCCGGAGCTTCGACAGAGCAAAAGATACAGAACAGAGGAAGTCAACCTCAACAATCTGCGAAATGTCTTTGTAGCCGGGGAACACTGTGACATAAGTACCGCCAAATGGTTGGTCGGTGTCCTTCCATCACACGTCAAAATCGCTGACACATGGTGGCAGACGGAGACTGGTTGGCCAATCACATCAAGCTGTCTGAACTACCCAGATGGATTTCTGAACAACACTGGCCTAGCCGCTCCAGAAGGTTCCGCTGGTCTTCCTGTCCCCGGATACAATGTCCAAATGGTTGATCAAGAGGAGGGTAACACAAGCTCACAATCAGTTGGAGACGACACAACAGACGGGAGAATTGAGAATATTGCACAATTAAAGCGTATATTGGTCAAGCTTCCCATGCCACCTGGGACGGCTGTAAGCCTTTGGAAGGATGACCAACTCTTCAAAGAGCTTTATTTTGAGAAGTACCCGGTGAGTTTTTGTGTGATATCATGAAAACTTCCATTTTTTTGATTTCAAGCTAGTGTTCAAGCACTTCGCGGTGGTTGATGAATAGTAATCAAGAACCTGGAGGTAGAGAATTCAAATGTCAGAAATTTAAGCACCTTCGTTCATTACCCACTTGGTTTAGAAGTTCGTTGAGCTGTAACATCGCTGGAAAATTAGTTTGATTCACTCGTGGCTAGGTTGACCCTAGGTGTGATTGAAATAAATTTATCCACAGATTTCACCATATCAACGCCAGTTTCATGACGCCAGCACTTGCTGAAACAGCGGGTATCTGCTACTTGGGAGTATAGAACTATTTCCCACCTGATTCCGAAGATCACTACGGGAATAGTGGTGCCATCTGGATGCACAAATTAGCATGGCATGTCTGGGGCTGCGATGCAAATTACACTGCCGGAAACCTGCATTTACATCGGATTCGGCCTTAATCTATTTGCATAACCTGACTACTGGCAGATCGTCAAAATGTTTTTTTATCTAAATAGCCAAGTAACCGGCAACACTAAGATTTCGGCATCAATTTCTTAAGCAATGACGTCAATGAATGTCCAGTAGGGTATCAAGAAGATTCCCATTTTAACGTTCTTGTTGTGACAAACTTTTGATTAGAACCAGGTCTCAAGTAAGACCGGAGACTATTCAGACGAAACAGCTGATTACTCGCCACTGGTTAGCTGGTTTGACCAAGTCTATAGTTAATAATACCCAACTCCACACCTAACCAATATTTCCCAACTTTTCAGATCAACCAAGCATCAAGGTCATGTGTTCCATCACTCGGTACCCACCCAATGATTACCAGATAATGACAGAATTCCTCTTACCGCCGAGCATTTGAGATTCAATTGTACCCATGGAAATATATTGTATTCTTTTTTGGAAATTTTCCAAGCCAGGAAGGTTGCTTGCTATCCCGTTCGGATGCCTGATTTGGCAACTAGTTACGGGTGTCAATAATCGGCCCATTGTGTGGAACCAGCAGCTTGTGCAATAAATGTTGAGCCTAATTGAAAGAAATTTCTTAGCGCTTACAAGAGGAATTAACTGAATGCGCTCAGCAACCAAGGTTAGGTCATTTCGTTATTCACTAAAAATGTTGGTTTCCCACCGGGCGAAATTTTAACTATAGGCTCATCATACTTGAAGACTGAACAATTGCACTAATGGGTTAGAATTTAGCGCTAAAAGATAAATCTGCATCTGTATTGTTTTTGTCCGGACAGTAGTCTTTCGGGCGCACTACACGAGTAGTTTGAGGGAAAGGATCAGTGTTTTCGAGTTTCGCTCTTATTGGAACTCATCAACAGCGCGTACTTCTGGTGTTACCAACCTTCGGACTCCAGATATAGGACACTTGAAGCAAGTGCGTTACCACAACTCTACTAGACGCATGTTAAGCACGTCTAAATTAACCCGTTATAGAAGGCGTGGATATTTGATGGCAGTAGGTATTGTCTTTTGTTGTCCTTGGTTATGCCGGTAATGCAACACTGACGTCGACTGTCGTGTCTTGTTCAAATTTAGCTTCCCGTTTAAGCCAAGTCTGCTAACGAAAAATCTTACATTTGCCCTCTGACTTAAAACTTATGGATGCCTACACCAGACCTAACAAGCATGCAGCTTGCTTTAAAGCGTAAGGGGACTATTCAGGGTTGAAGTGATCTTGATTTTCCGCATATGACTTCAATCAAGATATTTATATTTTTCAGGGTTACTATGACACAATGGATCTTGGTTATCAAGATGAAAAGGGCTTCGTTTACATTCTGAGCCGGGCAGATGATGTGATCAATGTTTCTGGTCATCGACTAAGTACAAGTGCGCTCGAAGAAGCGTGTCTCGCGGTACCTGACATTGTGGACTGCGCAGTAATTGCGATATCCCATGAAGTCAAAGGTACGTTTATCGTCGTGAATATTACCGCCATCAGCTAAGGAAAGAAGCTTCCCCATAGGTGCTAATGAGATGGAAGACCAAATCAACCAGAAGTATAGAGGAAATAGCATCCGCTTTCTACTGCACTGTGCTGGTTGCACCAATATGGATGACTTATCCCATCTTGGGTATCAAACTACCTAAAATGCTTGTCCACTATCTCAGATTCCTATTGAACTCATACTTGTAGAACAGATCATCCGCGCCCTTAAAGGGCGGTTTAACCTTTTCAAGGTGTTTGCAGCACAAGGGGACTTGAGAAGCTTAGTGTAGATTTCATCGTGTAAGTGAACCCAATCTACACTGAGAAATCCAGGGAAACTGTACAGCTGTTTCATTCTTATTGGATATCATCGGCAGTGTGCACCTCACGAAACTTCAACGAAACTCAAACCCGTGAGTTTGTGGTTAGTAAGCTGATCATTTGACCGTCTGACTTTGAGCGGCTGATCAGCCATGTGGTTAAATCACGAAGTAGAGCTGCCCAACTTTCAGTCACGTAACCACATCACATAGTCGCAAATGCTGACTAGCCCTTCGACCAGCGACTTATCAGACAAAAATTTCACTAATCGGATAAATTTTACTGTTTCTCTAAGCGACTTACAGACTGTTGCTGATGTGAGCAAAGTTAGGAATTTCAAAGTCGACTTCGTCTTGTAAGTGGTTCTCGTGGTCATACTACTAACCCGGAGTTCGTGAGTTCATGATTCTTTGGAGTTTCGTATATGGTCGACTTTTCAAAGTATATTGACTTCACCTAAAAGACAAAATTATTTGAAAACCCTTTGAGCAAATCGATTAGCGTAACAAAACAAATCGCCAATTTGTTGATCAGGAAGCAAAACCCAGCTTACCACATGATATTCAGTTGAAGTCATCAGCTTATTCACATTTGTCTCGTGTGAACAACCACACACTGCGTAAGCAATGAGAAAGGTAATACTGGCTTACAAAACCACTTTGAAGAGCGCAAAAGGTGATGACTCAGAGCACTTGTTAAACTTAATGAAGATTTCAAAATCTCCTCCAGTACTAGATTCTTCCTAGCCACCGCGGTCTTGGTGAACAAATGTGCTTTACGTCAGCAATGGCGTAATGTTCAAATAAATTAGCGCAACTCAGTGCAAGATGACTCACTCAAGCGTAACGGATCTGATTATTTAGCCTTTGAAAGTTGGTAAATTCAAGTTCAGAAATTATTTGTGAATTCTTAACAGTTAAATTTACTGGTCTGACGAATAGCAGTCCACCTTAAAAAAGTGCTGAAATTTATCGGCTTCCTTTCTAATTCACCTGGTGTCTAAATTTGAAGGGTAGTGCTTCGTTGAAACGCAATCTACATAAGTTCTAACAGCGGTTACCATAAATCAGTTACGTGCGACTGACAAGCGAAGCAGAGCCAGGTGACTAAGGCACAACCACTGTACCCAGAAAATGGTCTGATCAGTATAGTGTTATTTAGCTCAACAGGAATGCGATCGTTGCTACGTCCATCAGGATGCCATATCATTCCTCTCCTTATCATGCATGACTGTCAATTTTGGATGTGAATGGAGTTCTCACCATATCAGTTTATAATAAATATCTACCAGAAACCCAATCAGACCAACCAGAAATAATCCGACAGCAACAAAACCATTGAGTTTAGTGACCCAAAAATCAAGGTACAGCCCAGAGCACTGGTCTAGGATCAGCATAGATCTGCTTCGAATCAAATTTTTCAGTTTCGTTTGAAGTTATTCCTCTACCGGAAACATTTCAGTGCAACCGAAATACATCTCTCTGTACATATTACCTCGGGACAACGTCACAGCCTGCTGTGTCTGATACATCCCATTCGCCTTACACTTCTTATGGGTCAACGGATCCCGTAAAAATCTAATGCAACAACCTAAAATCCGGAATCTTCTTGAAAGTTCTGAGTACGTTCAAATAAACTCCAGCAAAAACGCTCTGAAAGAAACAACTGTTAAACTTCTTCGAATGCTAAGGGGCACGGATACTAGTGTTTGGGTTGTCTATTCGAACGTCCAAGTGGCGAGAAGCAATAGGCACCAAGACTATCTTGGACGCGAAGGTGCTTTTGTTGCTTTCGAAGACGATAATCATGAAGGTTCCGTATGGCTGTGCACCACTTACCAGCAATTTAGCACAGGCGTAAGCTTTCAGTTCAAACACGAAAACGACGTTAACGGGTGCCAAGCAAGCCACAACTGACGAAGAACTCAGACTGATACCAAAGAACTTAGAGCAGGGCAAAGATGAGGATGTTCAGTGGTTGAAATTCATGGAGGAAAGCAAAGCTTCCCATAACTCTACGTTTTGATTACAGACGGTCAGGAACAAAATGACCGGAGTCAAAAAGGGCAGAAAATACAAGGTTTGTCGGTATCGATCACTGTGCAGTCCACCTACAAGAGGTTCTTCAGTTGATCAACCTGTGACAGTCACATATGAGCGGGCCGAAGCTGAGGTCTGCTAGTCAGTATACTGGTTTGTGTTTATGAGTGGATATAGACTGACCGTAGTGTCGAATGAGTCCAGTCGTCCGGGGTGAGGGATTCTTTTTGGATTTCCAGAAATGTCTAATGGCATGCTATTATTACACCATGAAAACTGGTAGGCTTTATTTGATCACCTGAAATCTAACAACCTCCCAGGTTTTCGGGTGGCGTTGATTCACAAAAAGGTCGGGGATCGGAAATTTAGACCGTCCGATGAAACCTACACAACTATCCAGAAGCAAACAGAAGCTGAGAAATTGGACGATTTTCTATAGAGGAAAATGTCGGTAGATCAGGTAGCGTAGATGGTGGTCGTTGGCGTGTTCGCTGGTTGGGCCCAACCACCAACCCACCGCTACGCACTACTACGCTCCCCAATAACGCACTGATGATGTCACCTCGATTGGTGATGAAACGTTTGCAATCAAATTGCCAAGCTCAGCGAACAAGCCAACGACCACCAATTGGACGATTGTCTGACTGGCGCAAAATATTAACCGCGCACTTGTAGCTTTGTCAAATCTGAAATTGCAGAACATTTCCTGAACTAGAAACTACGTGTCTGGTTTTGTTGAATTGTCTTGCTTGACGTTTCATCGTTTTTAAAGTTTCAACGATATCGGGATTTTAGCTCCCTAAAAGAATCCTCATAAAATCAAAACACTTGAAGCGTGTTTTCTTCTTCATTCCAGATGATAACCGCTTCGGAGTGGCTTAAAAGATAACGGTTTGCTAACTCCTCCTGAGTCAAAACCTTCTACACTCATTTAAATGTGCGGTTAAAAAATTTATAGGCCAATGGAGCTGGCAGCAGTTAAGTAAGAAATCTTCCACTGCTAAAGGAACGCAAAGCAAGAGAGCCTTTTTTCAACAGCCTCACTGATTTTTAATATAGACTGAAACCCACTTTGTGGTATTGGAAAACGCCGCTTTGTTGAAACTTTGCTTGAGAAATTACGCAGAATTTCATCCCTCAATCTATAAAAAAAACACAATGTTTTCAACTGATTAAGCCACTTACATGACTCTTCCTACATTGCCATTCCAGGCCACGTCCCATTTGGCTTATTGGTGATGAGTTCCAGCTCCAAAAGGTCAAAGGATGATGTGATTTCCGCAGCCATTGCATCAGTGCGAAAGATTGTGGGTCCCGTCGCCGCATTTCGCCAAGCTTGTGTCGTGCCCAAGTTGCCCAAGACCAGATCGGGGAAGATTTCACGGGGCAGTATCGCTGACATGGCTGCGGGGAAACCAGTCCGGGTAGGTAACACATTCCTGTGGCCCATCCAAAAGTCTACATAACCGTTAATTTCCATCCAGTTATGATAGTTATTGACACCAGCGCTGCTTTTGTCTAATGCAGCAAACGAGGGTCCAGTTGTAATGAATGTCTTGTAAATAAGTTGTTTACTAACTATAGTTACGCATCGATTCGCGGAGTGGACAGTAAAAATCGAGTAGCACATCGAGTATCATTTGGGACTATCAGCAAAGACGTAGTATTTAGGGGAAACTTTGGTTTCGCTCTCGTCGGATTAGACGTGGTAAAGGTTTTATCGAAAAAACTCATAACACTGTGATTTTAGTATCATCCGAATCAGAAATTTGAGAAAGTCAATCGCGAGTCATTTTACCTCGGACAGATGAGCCATCTAAGAACCATTAGGTTTTTTCTCATCTTTAATCCTATCTACGGATTTGAAACGCAATAACCTAGTCGTGGGGCGTAGGTAATCTTCAATAGGTTCTCTGTAAATTAAAAACCTACTTTGTCTTGCTACCAGCTCTGATAAATACAGCAAATTCATAACAATGTCCCTATGTCGCAACCGAAACAAACAATTACGAAGCCTAATCGTGGAGGTATTTTTTTCTACAAATAGTTTGGTTACCAAAGGCATCCTGATCGAATTCGCTGAGGTCGTCATCACATGTAAAAAGACATTGGCTTAATCAAGAAAGTGTGACGGTGATGTTTCAGAGAGACCTCTTTTCAGAAAACATAAAAAGATGGAATGAACAAGACATTATTGATTTCCATGGTGTGCACTCCCCGAAGACTCAGTTGGATAGTCTAAAAATGATCGTGCAACACAAACCTGATTATCCGGATTCGTAGGCGTAAACCAACATATACGGAGACCTCACCCTGACCTGACTTGTTTGAGTAACATCTTTTCCTGCAAGCGATAGCCAAAGTACGGCCTGAACAAGGCTAACTCAGACCATTGAGGTAAAGGCAGACAATCAACAATGAAATAGCATCATCGACAGAATAGTCGGCTCAATAAAGTTGCGACCAAAACTGACGATTAATGAGAACGGGTACATCTAATTCAAGGAATTCACCAGAAGTCGTCAGAATATGCCAACTATTCCAGAAACCTCCATGGACGCTTCCATATAGAAACATCCTTTTCTATTGTCGCGATCTCAATGCGTCTTCAGAAAGTTCACTTTTCCAGTTTGCTCACCAAAGCGAAATGCAATAAGCACGTATGTTGTTTACAAATCAGACAATATAGTCACTGAGTTTTGATGTCACAGCTCCGGCTAATGGTTTAAAGATTGACATCTGTCCGTGCCCTCAGTGTGGCTGTCGTAAGGATCCAGATGTTGGTATTTTCCAAGTTCAGCCTTATCAGAAGCCAAAATGAAGCTTTCTAGGCACTGAACTACAAAGTTCATGTGAAAAGATGTATTTGAGGTTGTAGTTCCACCACAATCTCTCGCATACCAGAGTAGTGATCTACCAACTGACGAACATCGAATATTAATCCGTCAGGTACAGTTGTGGTGAACGAAGTGGGAAGTTTAAGGTCACCGACGTGACGAGACGAAAGTGTCTCTGGTAGCCCAGTTGGCATAGCACCCGGTCGCTGAGCGGAAGATCGGTTATTCGATTTCATACAGAGTATCTCTTTCAGGCTTCTGTTGTTGTAAAATCTAACAAACCGCATTTTGATAATCAACTGATATTTAATAATCTTTTCGTGATTGAATGGTTGCTTGAATTCTTACTGTATAGGGGATAGCCTTCAATCTGAATCTAATATAAAAACAACACCTGGGTCATGGGCCAGCCCTCAATGCAGTTTCTCCTGGCCTGCAAATTTTGCCAACGTGAATGCATCCGTGTATTCAAGATGAAAGTGGAATCTCTGCATTAAGGGAAAAGACAATTCAAACATACTTGAGCTGCTTTCATCTGATTTTTCAGCACAAAACGAATCACAGTAATAACAGGTGTACATAAACATTGATTTTCAGGCACTAACACTATTTACACAGGATCACTGAATGGATACACTGCCGGGAAAACTGTCGAAAGCAGCTTAAGTTTCCTTCCTTGTCATGAAAACTGAAATCCTGTATAGTTCCCTAGTTCTTACGTGGATTATCTTGCACTAGAAACGCTTGATCTTAATGCACAGTTTTCTAACACACTTCATGGTTCATTGCGCACTGCACATAGCAGTGTCTAAGAACTACCCGCGTCGGTCAAAATGAACTGGACGGTCCACCTGACTCCATTTTCATACACCCGAATCAGACAATGAAACAAAGCTACTATTCATTCCTAGGTGCCAATCACAATCGAAGATATATCAGTCTATGGACCCATACACGATGCAATGAAGGAATGTGGTCTCCGACCAACAGAAGCACCAAACCCCGGTTGAGATGAAATATGCGTTCTTTATTTTGATAAAGTCCTTGCAGCTTTACCTGTGCCTGAGTGCCTATCCGCTAAATCTGATTTTTTTACGGAACCCTTTATTTTTTGGTAACACAGTGGTGCTGGGAAACTAATTTTCTTTCATCCATTCTTATGCTCATTTTGCTAGTTTTTGGATACAAAATCGATTTCCAGTATTCTCACAATGACTTCTATTAAAATTCCTTGAAACCTTGTAATCAGTGCTCATGTTGTAATCTGTGTTACTTGACAGTTCTTCTCGAAACATTATTGCCAAAACTAGTGTTTGATTGTTCTTTAACCTGAAGTTTAATTTATAAGTATTACACTCCATTATTTCGAGGCTTTTTATGTCCGGCGATTGAAGATGGTAACGGAGTTTGTATTGTATACACTTATGTATCCACTCACACATAATTCGTTCAACCGAGAACTAATTTATTGGTGACAGGTGTTTTCTAGAGACCAGCTGCATTTTACTTACTTGCTTGGTGGATGAAGCTTCCAGCCTCAGCTGGAGAACGAGAGGCTTGGGCACTTAATTTTGAGTTTCCAACTCAAATGCTGATCCACAAGGTTAAAAATCTAGTAAACTGATCCACTAAACAGTGATAGGCGTGCTAGACTAAATAAATTGTCACTACGTCACAAAACAATCATCACACATATTGCGTATAAAATGTCCTCTCGTCTTCATTGATATCTAGTACGCAGAATTATTTTTACCACACTGAACAACATGGCGGCGTTCGTTTTGAACCTGCGCGTCCACCTAGTCTGACGATCTTCGGTAAAATCCTGAGGCGTTGCGCGGAAATATTTTGTCATCTGGATAACATTCTATCCATGTCCACACCCACGAAATTCCCGACGGAATCTTTTGTATTCCGGGTGCCAGTGACTGCTAATGTTTAGTTAGGTTGTCCTGTTTAGTGTTACTGACGTTAATTAGTTGTACGAAACAAACCACCAGACAGAATTTCACAGTACCATTGAAGCACCTGTGCTCCACCGCACAACGTCCCTGCATACGAAGCTAGACAAACTTTAGTTAGGTATTCATCGAGAGACTTATAACTTGTTCACTTTGGGGATCAATTACAAACCAGTTCGTGTAAAGTTTCTCACCTTATTCAATTATGACTACCAGTAAGACATGAAAATACCACGTTACGTGGCTGAGTTGCAGCTGAGTTTTATTTCCTTTATCCTTACAGTGGTGTGTTCTGATAGAACCGTTCAACACCATGGGTTCAGAATGAAAAAAGTACCCGATTCAGTAAGTGGAGGCTGAGCATGTTTAGAACATCCCCAGAGCGACTCAGCGTGACAGGTCCTGGTTGCCGCTTCAGCTATTGGGATTTATCAGCAAGTACTCGCTTAGGCAACACCTGACTGCAAGCGCGCCGCACCCAGCTACCCCCGGGTGTGCCACACAGATGGCCAAACTTTAGAGAGGTCCAGGGAGTGGACCATCATCCACAGTTGTTTTACCAATTGTGTCATGCACGTAGCCTTTCATCTTTCGGTACTTTGTTCTTAACAGCACAAATAGAACTATTAAATATATTCTCCCAAGAATTGCCACTGAATACAGTGACTTTATCTGTTACAGTCGCGTGAATTCAGATTCTTTTTCACTCGTCAATATGCGTAATTCGCTCAACAGTACCGGGCTCATCATATTTTAACTTCAAAGGGACAACAAGTTTGAATGTTCTGGAGCAGAACTCTTCCATTTTAAGGTGTAAAATGTAAGCCGAAACAAAATGGACATTTCCGAAATTTCCTTTTTAGGGTACATAATGTGGATCAGCGATGCAAAATAATGAAACAGTTTCGTATGTACAGTTTGGGTCTTCAGGGGTCCCTTGAATTGGACTGTGTACTCCGTGATTATGGCCATAAAGAACTGGAACAGCCCCGCTAGCTGTGAGAAAGCCTTCGGACACTTCACGGTAGCCGTAACACGATTGAACCACTAGCACGAGGTTTTGGAAACTTCAACGACATTCATTCATCCTTGCAGGGATATATTTAGAAGTTTCATTCTATTTACAGAGCTGACGACTCCTTTGAAGCCGTGGAAGACAATGACTTCTTTTCAGTGACATACTTGTCGCTACACAAGTATTTGACGATATGAAGAGATACGACCGATGAAACCGCTACCTGACTGAAGTCTTCATTTCACAAGGTTGCTTTTAGTATCCCAGAACTAGGCCTAACATCATAAGAAGAGCTGGTAACCTGGTTGACAGTAATAAAACTCATACCCCATATAGTTAGACTAGTCATTTTGGACAACAATTCTGAGTAGAGACCCGATCAGATGTTGGCTGAAATGCTCTCCTCTCCAGTAAGTACAGTTTGTGAAAGCAGCAAGGAGAAACGTTAACATCCTGGATTTCACCGGTCTCCTCGTGCGCGCTCATAGACACCATAACCATATCTAAAAACAATGTATTGTTTGACTCGAAGCAGTGTTGTGTAAAGAGTGTATAACTTAAGACGGAATGGAATAGTAGCAAATTGATTTGTGGGTCATACGGCCAATGTGCTTCTCTAACGCTTCCTGAACTGGCTCGTACTAGGCAGTGTCACTTTTGTTGGAGCTATATTTCTCTCATCATGAATGCTTTAGCTTTGTTGCAGCTAGCTACAAAAGGCTTGTCAGAGCATGGTGTCTAAAGTTCTATATTTTCACTTTGCACCATCGAAACCTCACTTCCAAATCGTTCGTCAACCACGTAATCTCTCTGGTTGGTCCATCGCTAATAGTGTGCTACAAAAATGAACTTGTTTCATTCTACACTAAACCATTTCACGTTCGGCACCATCACAAAAACGCACGAGGACACTCTTCATTGCGAACTTCACATTGTGCGCAATCAAACGTCACTTGCCCGTGATTGCGTATTCTGAACTAAAAACAGCTCATTAAAAAAACCGTGCTAGCTTAGATAACTACTTTTCCATGGGTTCCAACCCGTGTGTTGCGTTTGAAGGCAGACTACATGTTCTCATTTCCAACGCGCAATCAAACGTCACTTGCCCGTGACTGCGTATTCTGAACTAAAAACAGCTCATTTAAAAAACCGTGCTAGCTTAGAAAACTACTTTTCCATGGGTTCCGACACGTGTGTTGCGTGTGAAGGCAGACTACATGTTCTCATTTCCAACTAGCGTGAGATCAAGGAATTTGACGTTTGTTTATCCAAAGTCAGTAGCATGAATCCTCTGAAGAAAGGTATAAATAGTGCGTGAATCTAATACATTATGCATATGATATATCCAGAACTTCGGACATGCTCAATGAACATCAAAAACGCGCTGCATACAAAATATTAATAACTATGCAGCCCGGTGGTAGTGGTGATGCTGTTAGATTGTATGCTCAATGGAACGCCCCGAGCGATTAACAGGCAGGCGTTCTAACATAAATACACACGCTTTGATCAAACAGTGAAAGGATTCGTTTCAAGGATCAACTCTTGATAGCGACATCAAATCCTCGACAGTACGTGAAATGCCAACTAAAATACACCTCTGTTGTTCTCTGGATAGGTTTGACAAGACTTGTTATTACTAGGCAATTTCAATCTAGAACTGTAATCCCTTATAACAGAGGTAGATATTGTATTCTGTCATGTATTTCGCTTGGCTGTTTTGCAGCAAGTTGCGATTAGAAAAGAAGCCCTGGAAATGTCGAACTAGCTTCCATTTATCAACCGTTAATCTATGAGAGTTTGTCCAGTTCTCGTGTCCTTTAAATCTTCTAATGAAGAATATTTAATGCTCATATGTGTTCTAATCTAGTATACCCTGGCCAGCTCGCGCATCAGACATGCTGAAATGTTATACAACCCTTATCTTCACTGGAGAACGATATGTTATGATATTGAACTCTTACTAATGAGAATGCCGTATCACAAACTTTTAACCAGTGTCCTTGGAGATTGAATGTTCTTACTCAGCCAACCTCTTTCAATCTCAGGCGATCACGGCCTCGAAGATCACATAAGTCCTGCGCGAACAAATCACCAAATTTATAAAGACCAGAAATTCAAATTTATTTTACACTCCAGCATGAACCACTGTAAAAATATAGCCAACGAGACTAGAGATACATCTTTCGGCCACCAAACTAATCGTATTCCCAGTACATATTCTTGAAGATGGAATTTCCAATGTCCTTAAAAAGTGATTAGTTCGATTTCCTTTTCCACTAACGTCCTTCAACTACTGACTCTTCCCGAATCAAGAAACATCCGAGTAGGGGATTACTGTGACTACCATCCCTTATGCTGTGTTCCACTATTATGCGATCCTTAACTGAGTTTATCGACCGAGGTAAGCGCTGCCGAACAATAAGTTTTGACCCCTCTCTATTGAGCTCTTTTCATTGACTCACCTAAGATAGCTTGTGGTAATCTAATGACACGTTTTGCTTGTTGCTTACTTCATCTTATGTGAGAAGTTTACATCTCAGGGTAGCTTATTTGCTTCCGTATGGGTGGAAATATACTAGACAGAGAAATGTGCGACTCACTGGACACTTGCCGTGTGTTGGGTTGTTTGGTCACTAACTAGGTTGACTAGGGAGGGATTGTGTAATATAACTTATTTCCCATCGAGAACGTATACTGTCTCAACAGTTATCAACAGTTATGCTTCACATGGTTGATGGAGAGTCTCACACTCAGTCAAAATTTACGCACGTTACGCAACAAACATTATAGATACCGTCATCCGTGAATGCAGCGCACCAGGGGCGAAAACGAAGTAAACAATGACTGAAACTCCATAACTTCTACACAATTGATAAGGCACGGTTTCCTGTAACTAGATGCCGTACACAAGATGTGCTGCACTGAATCAGCATCTGGATGCCGTATTCCCTTAAATTGTGTGAGTTTCACGCAAGCAAATCGTCACGCACTCCGGATACCGAACAAGTCATGCTATTACCTCTGTGACGCAAAGTTGCCCGCACTAATGGGAAAACTGAAAATAAGATTTCAGTAAACTGGTAGGCAGTAATAAAACATCCTTCTTGTTGCAAAGTCGAAAACCAACTTAGTATGCAACTGAGTGTACTTCGTTAAGTTCGTGCAATTTGGTTTCAAGGTTGACGGAAACTCGGCGAGTGCGCCTGCTTTATGAACCCCAAGAAGGGCGAAACCGGTAGCGGGCTGTCGACGGATTTTCGGCAGCTTTATGAGTAGTGCACTACAAAATATATATATATATCTTTATCGCGATATTTCTAATATCGTAGCGGCTGAAACATGAGGCGGCCTGGTACAGCACATTCAGTTGCCTGAACACATAAAAACCGGGAGATTCAGCTGGGTTCCAGGTTAGTCTCTCGAAAAGCCAAATTACTTTGCAAACAAGTGTATTTCGCAAATTTCTTAGGCGGGTTTTCGGCGTTAAATATGATTGCC